CTTGAGTTTGAGAAGAGCAGTTCAACCTTCTGAAGAGTAGAGTAGTGGGCTCTGGAGGGAACAAAATGTTTATGCTCTTGGGTTTCTTTTTCTTCTGTAGATAACTAAATTTTAGGGTTTTAAGTATTTTCAAAAGTTGTTCCTTCTATGAAAAGGTTTATTTGCTTCAGAATCTAAGTTTATTAATGTCATGGATGCCACATTTATTAAATTTGATCTTTAATATTAAGGTTTGTTTATTACAAACCGATTGAAAAGCCTTCATTATGTTCTTTTTCCTACAGTTCAAGGCATAGGAACAGGATTTTTCCTGGGCATTTGAAAATATTTGGGATAACAAAATGGAGAAACAAAAGTAAAGGCTGATTAATTCTTAGCTTGCTTCATTCTCCTTGTTCTTTTCTTATAAAATTAAATAGCATATACCTGGATTTGCTTATCTCCTTTAAAGTTTTTAAGAAAATAAATTTTAATAAAGTTTAATAAATTTGAATTCTTGCTCATCTGTTTTCTTTTCCCCTCCAGCATTAATAGACCATCTGCTCTTTGGAAATATCTAATACCACTAGAGATGGTAAGAAAAAGTAGCCTAATAGCCACTGCCCATAAAATTCAGAGTCTAGCATCAGGATTGGTCATATAAGGAAAATGGTGTCATACAATGTAAGAAATAAGTAAATGACGAGGAACAGAAGAGGTGTGGAAGAGAGCAATTTATTGCCCATCATGTGAGCAAGGCAGTGTTGGGCCTTGGAAATCTCTAGTCCCTCAGGGTGTGGGGGACAGGAAATTTCAGTTGGGCTGCTTGATGCACTGGATGAAGCTGAGGAAGTGGGGGGTATGGACCATACCTTTAGGTGATAGGTCTTAGAGTTGAGTGGCTAAGCCTGGAATGGAAAACAGATCTTAAGAGTTATTTTGGATGTGGGAAAACCCGAGAGAAGTATCCACATGGGGCCAGACTAGACGGGGTCCAGTCTGCTTGCTCCACAGCATGAAATAGGTGTTTGGGGTACAGAATATTCAGAATGTTTCTGAGAAGTAAAAGTAATACTCCCTTTAAGTGAGGTACCAAGGAGCCACTGGAAAGTGTTTCTTCTCATGGACTAGAAGAGCCAGATCTCACTCCATGAAAATGGCACTTTAATTACAATATTTGTGTGTAACTTGAAAAATGCAAGGGTGGGTTCTATTTGTGGTGGTGGTGAAATGAAAAAAATTAAGGGTAGTTTGGATGAAAAGGCACCTGAGAGAGAAGTTGTTGTTCCTTGAGACTAATAAATTGTGAGTGCATCTTGTTAGAGAAGGCAACCTCACACCCTTATTGTATAACAAATGGTCTATTCAGGAATTTCTATTTATTTTTACTTGCTCAGAAACATTTTGGTGATATGGTTTCTATCTATATAAGTGCATGTTCAGTAATAGAAACGGAATCTATGAGAAAGGTGTATAATCTGACATCAAATC